TATATATATAAAACACAAAATAATATATATATATATATATATATAAAATATATATATATATATATATATATATATATATATATATATATATATATATATTTATATATATATACGTATATAGCTTTTTTTTCATCATTAGTTATTATCATTATCATCATTCGTAATCGTAATCATTTCAAATCACTGGCAGACACGTGTACGAATACGCGGAAACAGAAGAAAACTTTCTTCTCTTTTTCGCGTACACGTGAAACTTCACTTTCGGACATTTACTCGAGAATTAATTAACTGCTCGATAAGAAATGCACAAATATATATGTATATATGCGAATACTAATTATATTCGACGCGTGTATGCGTGACAAAAATATATATATATATATATGTATGTGTGTGTGTGTGTGTATATGTATATATATCTTTGTCACCTCTCGACTCGAGTGTTCGTGTGTGTCTGTTGAACGTTTATTTTGTGCGATCGTGTACCATTAATGCGCATGTGAACTCGTTTCATATACATTTCCTCTTTTCTTTTCGCAATTCTCGTCTTCACTTTCTTTTTTTCTTTCTTTGTTTTTTTTTTCTTTTTTCACAACGATTATCCGAGAGTCTTCCTCTCTGTATCTCCTCTCTCCTCTACAACTGTTCTTGCTTGCTTGCTTGCTAGGGACGCGCAAGTGCACATCATTTCCAGAAATTTTCTCGCTTCGTTTCTCTCTTCAATTCTCAATTCTCAATTTTCTCCTCGGTTCGTTCGTCGACGCTTATATATCGTTTCGCGCCCTCTCGACCGAGCGTTTCCTTTCCTCTCAGCGTAAAACAGCGTAAGCTCGTGTATGTTGCAATTGACGAAGTTCACTGTGTGCAAAAATCGGAAAACTCCCCCGAATTGAATGCGTGAAGTAGTATGCCTGACAGAAGGCTCGAACCTTCTGTCATCCTCAGGTGTTTCACACGCTATCGTTACATACATACATTATGGATAAATATATACATATATATATATTTTTTTTTTCATGTACATGCGTATGTGTACGTATGTATATATATATATATATATGTATATGTATACAATCATAACGCTAGATAAAACGAGATAAAATCTATATGCACGTTACGTTAATCGTTCAATAAGTTTCAAAGGATCACGCGGCACGGAACATTGGCGGCCCAATTTTCAATTTCATCGATGTGCAAGGTGGATTTCTAGGAAACATACGGTTACTATACATAATAGTTCCTCGGTTAATCCCTAAAGTCTAAGTAAGGGAAGGGCGGAGGTCGGATCGGTAGAAATTGTTTCAGTGACAATTCCGATGACACCAGTTTCAAACGATCAATGATCGACGTCAAACAGACATCGACCAGGGTCTGGCGAACGTCGCGACGCGTTCAAACGCTGTAACACACCGCGTAACACACTAACCTAGGCGAAACGATGCTCAAAACGGTACAATTGTCGTACAATCAACGCAAACGTCGCACGATTTCGATGAAAGGGGGATCAACAGCTTACAATGCATGGTTCGTTTTTTTCTCTTTGCTGCTCTCCCCTCCCCTCCCCTCCCCTCCGCCTTTCACCGACATTTTACCTCCTCGATGAGAGTAACTTACGATTAAAAATTAAAATATTAATTAAAAATCTGAGAAACGACAAACGAACGACGTACGGCGAATAAAATTCAAAGTCAGAGACCTCGAACGGGTCCTCCGGACTGTTTGCGAGGTATTCAGCGGCGGCGGCCATTTTCTCTCGCGCTGCACTCGCACATCTCGTTCGCCTGAACGCGAATTTCTAGCAAAACCTTTTTTCCTAAAAGATTTATTTGCTTGTTTGCTTTCACGCCGAAAGACTTTCAAAAAATTGACAACGTCGGTCGGCAATTGCTCGTCTGTCAAGCATAGAATTTAGAATTTATCCAACGACTTAAGAACTAAACAACTTGGAGATAATCCTCTGCGTGACAGAAAACAATTCACATTGTCATTGCACACTGTTAACTTTTGAAGAATAGAAAAAAAAAAAGAAAAATAAATGAAAAGAAAAGAAAAGGAAGAACCGCGTGGAATATTTTCGAGTCGCCGCCGCGAATATTTCACAGAGGTCTGGGCCATTTTTCAATAACTCTAGAAAAAAAAAGAAAAAAAAAAAAAAAAGAATAGAAAGAAGAAGAAAAAAAGTTAATATATCAACGAGCTAACTATAAGACTCCAGAATGGACTTCAACGGCTGACTAAAGGCTTGCAACAGGATTAATAATAATTCTATGACTTGGGAAAAGGCAAGTTTCTGTGTATGTGACGTATAACGTGACTTAGGCCGAGCATCGTTTCCGTCCATCTCGACGTAGAAAATAAAAAATATATATATATATATATATATATATATATATAGAATATATTATATATATATACGTAATATAGAACAAACATCGATATACATGTATAGATAGTACGATATATCATAATCGATTTGACGAAGGAACGATTACTCTCTTTCCCCGGTAGGTCGTAACAAACGAAACAAATGTTCGAAACAAAACGTGGCGAAGGTTCGCGTGACGACGACGCGGTGTAACAAAATTTCAACAGATTTCCCGTCTCGTCCCTTTACATTACTTCAACGACGATAAGAGTCGTTTCTCTTCGTTTTAGAGAAGCTTCTTTCCTTAGGAAGGAAAACGTCACACGTTTAGAAAAAAAAAAAAGAAAAAAGTGCGATCCTTCGAGCGCACGCTGGAAACGTGCGCGTTTCAAAGACGAACAAAAGGCGGAAAGAGAAATATGAAAATGCAACAAGTAGGAAAGAAGAAACGACACAGTCACTTGATCATTCGTCGGTGGTGAGTCTTCGTGTTGAGTGAGAAGAAGGAAAAAAAGAATTTTATATATATATATATAAAGGAAACAACAGGCGTGGACTTTTTCGAACGCAACGAAAGAAAAAAAGAAAGAAAGAATGAAAGAAAGAAAGAAAGAAAGAAAGGAAGGAAGGGGGTCGAACCACACACGTGTTCGTCGAAAAAGTTCGTCCGCGTCGTTATTATTTCCTATGCCTCGCGTGCAAGCATTATACGCGTTTATACGAATCGCTCCAAGTGGAATCGGTCAATAAGGCACTGTTCACCGACAATGTCTGACTAGAAAATGAATCTATTCCCTTTTTTTTTTTTTTTTTTTTTTTTTTTTTTTT